GGAAGCTTAGAGGAATCAGCTGATGTATGTTTATGACTAGCTGTAATCGTATGATATAGCTGTAACTGAAAGCTAAGCCTGACTTCGTGCCCTGCCTGAACTAACGCTATGCTCAATTTCAGTCAGGACCACTTTCGTCAAAATATTTTATATCCCAAGCAGAATTACATTTGGCGGTATGGCTCTGTTCTGGGACCTCCTTGTCCTTCCGCGTGCCTACGTGGAAAACCTTAAGGCAGGGAGAGCACACCTCCCTGCCCTTCCATGTGCCTACATGGAAAAGTTTAAGACAAGGAGAGCGGCAGCAGAGACCCCCAAAGAACCATACCAGGCAACCTCCCTTCCATGAGCTACATGGAAGTGCCATTAAGAGGAGCCAGCAGCGCAATTTTTTGTAAGAAATAAATAACAGTAATAAAGCCAATAATTTATGCGGATACTAGTTTAAGTAACTTGGCTGAAGATTAATAAAGAGATCCCTAAGAAGTTATGCTAGAAGTGTATTTAGATTAAGCCAGCAAAAACATATTTCCTGAACAGAGTGTTATATTTAGTGGTGTGGCTCTGTATGGGACCTCCTTGTCCTTCCACATGCCTACGTGGAAAACCTTAAGGCAGGGAGAGCACATCTCCCTGCCCTTCCATGTGCATACATGGAAAAGTTTGAGACAAGGAGAGCGGCAGCAGAGACCCCCAAAGAACCACACCAGGCAACCTCCCTTCCATGAGCTACATGGAAGTGCCAGTAAGAGGAGCCAGCAGGACTATAAACCAATACGTCTAAGCAGACTAGTTGAAGTACATGGCTAAGTATACTAGAGATATCCCCAGAAATTTGCTATACATTAATGAATTTAAGCCGGAAATTACAGGGCACTCATTGCTTTACTAGCATCAAGAATTGCTTGGCCTCAGGCAGGAGGTATCGTTCGTAAGCAGATAATGAACATTTACCCATAGCCTTAGCGTCGAGACAGGAGCTACGGATGCTGCATTTGTTGCTGCTCCTATGCGAATTGAATGAGGAGTTATTTCAATGTAGATTAGCTAAGCCAGATCGCATATACTGAGCAGTAGATAGCCTGTAGGATTGCATGGTTGTGTTTACTCTAACACGGTTTGAGAAAATGGGGGGCAAGTCAGGCTGGATGGCGCTGCCTCCGGGCACAGCTGGCAAAATTCTGCAATTCAAACCGGGACAAAATCAGCAATTGTTATCCAAGCATGGAATATGAGATGCTCTAATAATGAATTTACCCAACATAGATTACCAAGTGAGGCGCCTTACAAATCTATAAATGAATGGAACTGAAGAACGCCCTTGTAAATGATGTTGGCAGTTGCCTCATTGTCACAAAAACATGATTGTTTCCTTGACCAGTCTTTTCCCCACAGAAACATGAAACAACAATTGGGTACATTCATTAAAAAGGTAGAAGAGGCATTAGCTGCAAGGACGACAGTATTTTAGCCATATGTCTGCAAACCACGGATTATTAAAATACCCCCCTAAAACCTACGGAAGGGCGGTTGTCATACAGGTCCATCATGCCACTTCTACTGTATGTTTGAAATAATTATATCTCCATTATTCTGTACACAACACTGAAAAACTTGTGGATCCATTGCTCTTCCCTAAATGCCCCTCATGTCTGCTCCCTGTCTTCTAAGCTCAGCAAAGATGTTCATTAGTGATCTAGTAGATCATAGCAGTCACACTATTAGACCTTGCTGTTGACATAAAGCTCCCAGGGTGAACTGGCACACAGTGTTCGATTCATTTATATGTACTCAATATGCTGCGTCTTTTCATAATTAATGGCAAATGATGATCTAGCTGCTCATTGTAAAAGAAGGAGATGCCATACCATTTATCACACAGGAGAGATCAGGACTGGGGCTCGGATCTGCAGCCCTCATCCAAGCTCACCATATCATGGAGTTCTCTATAAATCGGAGAGGTCCAGAAGCCTGGATATAAGGGAACTTCCCTGGGGAATAACACACATGCCAATTTAAGATGTCTAAGCAAGGAGAGCAGTTCTCTTTTGGAAATAACTACTGCCTGCTGATGCAATTTTTCATCAGTACACTATCTAGAGTGAAGCCTAGAACTCTAGCCTTACAGGGCCTGATGTTTCTCCTTGGATAGCGGAAGACCTAATGTTTAAAGGTATATTTAAGAGCAAAAATGCATGGTCTGATTTTTTGAATTGGTAGTCAACTAACAGAAAATCGTCTATGAGATGGAGCACAAAAGCAGTTGCAGTTATTTAAAAGAATCCAGCAGAGAGCCTCTGATAGGATATCAAATATGTGGGGCTGCTTTTTTTTAGTCAGTAAATTTGAAGCAAAAGGAATAATCAAAGGAAACATCATCAAAGAGTGGCACAGGTGGGATACAGGAAACAGGATGACACCTTGATACAGTACAGCGAAAAGTAACTGGCCATCTGGCCCTTGACCTGCTGTAAATGAGTCAAGTCTCACTTTCTCTCACTATTACTCTTATTACATCTTGTATTATATTGATTTATATTTCCGTTTGATTTTTACACCAATACATGCAGTCCCCATTACATCATCCATATATTTATACCTACATCAGGTAGTTTCATCAGCACAAATATAGAGCAATGACTTTTCCTTTAGGTCTTTAAGAAGACTCTGTGTGGTTACAGGATTTCTGCTTTCAGATAAGCCAGAAGTCAAAGAGCCATGTACCAACATGTTGCCAAAGCCGTGCCCAGCTGAAGTTAAGTGTACACATATTTCTTAGTGAGGCGTGTTGACAAACCCAAAGAACAGGTTTCAGTGAATTAAAGTGCAGTTACACCCTTCAATTCTATTTGCTCCCTCCCTCTCAACAAATTTGAGAGGGAGACTGAGGAAACGCATCAGAGACCTGCAAAGGACAGTGACTTTAGGGGGTGTGACATCAACACACAGCAGCCACCGGCTTGGTGGGTAGTGAATGTTGAAACCGGCACATTTGTTCTATAGATATTTGTCGGTACTTGGTAAACCCAGCTGATTTACTCTCAGAAATTGAACCAACAAAAAATTTAAAATAGGAACAAGCTACACTCTTTTATTACATTTTTAAAAAATCAAGCACTTAATCTTGTAAAGCTCCCTGTTATGTATTTTATTTTTTCATGTATTATTTAGTTTGAAATGAGAACATTTGCTTATCTTATCATCATCATCACCATCGGTCACTACTATTACGTTACCTGTGTCTCTGTCTCTCTGTCTCTCTGTGTCTCTCTCTCTCTCTCTCTCTCCTGCCTAGAGTCGTGGTCTGTCCTAGGTTTCTGCCTTTTAACAGGCAGTTTTTCCTTGCCCTTGTCGCCAAGGTCTTGCTCATGGTGGTACTGTTGGGTCTATGTAAATAATGTTATAAGGAGTTCGGTCTAGACCTGCTCTATTTGAAAAGTGTCCTGAGATAACTTCTGTTATGAATTGGCGCTATACAAATAAAATTCAATTCAATTCAGTTTAAAAAATGTATATATAATATTCTCAACTGAACAAGAAGATGGAGAACATGTATTTTAAAACTGTCAACAGTCCCCACAACATGCACCCCATCATTGATTCTAGATTTAATATTTTTCAAAATGTAATGACATCAGAAAACAAAAATGAATTAAATATATTTTATCACAATACTCTAATTTCCAATCTTAATAAACAGAGTGTGCAGTATGTTCCTCTCAAGTGGCTTAATAATTATTTAACTGATAGAGAACAATTTATTTGTCTAGTTTTAGTGGCCTCCACTTTCTGTTATTTTAAACATTTCCATGCCTGCATTAAAGTCACTGCAGCAAAAATATTTAAGCAGGTAAAGTAAAAACTGTAGTTATAAACTTGACAGGACAGAAGAAACTCTGATGAACTTCAGGATACATCAAGAACAGGATGGATGCATTAGCAAAAGAGGCTCTGAAACAAGAGGAGAGCATGAATATTTTAGTCAGTAAATTTGAAGCAAAAGGAATAATCAAAGGAAACATCATCAAAGAGTGGCACAGGTGGGATACAGGAAACAGGATGACACCTTGATACAGTACAGCGAAAAGTAACTGGCCATCTGGCCCTTGACCTGCTGTAAATGAGTCAAGTCTCACTTTCTCTCACTATTACTCTTATTACATCTTGTATTATATTGATTTATATTTCCGTTTGATTTTTACACCAATACATGCAGTCCCCATTACATCATCCATATATTTATACCTACATCAGGTAGTTTCATCAGCACAAATATAGAGCAATGACTTTTCCTTTAGGTCTTTGAGAAGACTGTGTTGATACAGGGTTTCCACTTTCAGATAAGCCAGAAGTCAAAGAGCCACTGGACATGTTGCCAAAGCCGTGCCCAGCTGAAGTTAAGTCAACACATATTTCTTAGTGAGGCGTGTTGACAAACCCAAAGAACAGGTTTCAGTGAATTAAAGTGCAGTTACACCCTTCAATTCTATTTGCTCCCTCCCTCTCAACAAATTTAAAAAATGCATCAGAGACCTGCAAAGGACAGTGACTTTAGGGGGTGTGGCATCAACACACAGCAGCCACCGGCTTGGTGGGTAGTGAATGTTGAAACCGGCACATTTTAGTGTTCTATAGATATTTGTCGGTATTTATCATGTATTATTTTGCTTGAAATGAGAGCATTTGATCAGTGTTAAAATTCAGTTAATATTGTTGAAATATTATTGAATTGCACTTCAATTCATTGATTTGACAGTCAGGTGTTGACTTAATACAGATAGGCTGCTTCAATATAATGTCACTGAATACATAATGACATAGCATTTTGAACTGTAATTGCACCTGCTCTCTCAGTCCTGCCCTCCTCAGTTTCGTCTTGGATCTATAATATTTTCCAACCATGTAGTTTATATTAACAAGTTTCGAGTTACTTGAAGAACTGGTCTCTTCATCACTGTTAATAATAAATAATTAGCCTATTGGATCCACCCAACCCTTTTTGACGTCAGAAGTCGTTGCACTCCGCCGATAAATACAGAGACTGACTCTCACATCAAGCTCGTACAGCCACTGAGATCAACTCCAACAGAGGAAATCCAATATCTGGAAGACTATGGCAGAAAATCAGCCACAGAGTCCTGGTCCAAACAGGTCAGTAGTTTGAGCCTTTTGTCTACATTTAACATAGAGGCACAATTTGAATCAACATATTTTCAAAATCCCAAACCAGGACTGTAAACCATCAGGGTCATAATTGTTTTGGCAGTCTGTCCCAGTGGGGCTAACCATGGTACTGTATGTGAACATCAGACAACACCTAACAACGTGTGTTGTTAGGTGTTGTCTGTGTACCTGTTGGGATGAATATCTCTTGCGGAGCTCCTGTTTTTCTTTTTGCCCTTGAACTCGACCGTAAAGTTTTCGGCCTCTGTTTAGTTCATGTATGATGAAATAGTAGCATGGCTACATGGTTCTTGGTTGAGCAGACAAAAACACAGACCCAAACTCTTACTTCCACCAGGCACAGCTTTAAAACGTCGCGACTGCATCGCTAAAGTTCAGCATATTTCTTTTACTGAAGATTATACACTTTAGGGTTCTTCTCAAAAGATGACTGTGGTATTCTGTGGTGTTTATGGTAATAATCTTGTTGCAAATGACTACCAGTTTACTGTGTATGTAGAAGAATACAGGTTGAATTCAAACATAGTGTAGAGTCTGGATAGATGTGTAAACAGAAGGGATTACTGCTCACACATGAGCTGTGATTTCAGTAAATGAAAGCAAAGGAAATATTAAAAAAATAATTATTTTTTCTCTTGGCTCACAAAACTTTACATCCTCTTTCTGTCTTTTTCTGTTTTTCTCTGTAGTGGCACAACCGACTACCTGAGCAACGAAGACTACTTTATGGCTTTAGCCTGTCTGTCAGCCAAAAGGAGCAAAGACCCTAACACACAGGTGTGTGTGCGTGTGTGCGTGTGCGTTTGCATGGGTATATTATTAGTAGGTCTTAGACAACCAAAGAAAATCTTGGTTGATAGTACCTATTTACCTATTTTAAAGCTAAAGCATTATAAAGTGCTGCATGTCCACAAAAATCATGTATCAAAAGTAATGTTATCAATCCATCACTGAGCTTGAACCTCCCTTGTTAGCCTGTGATTGCTCCGTAGCAGTCTATAGTAAAATGCACACACGTTGCAATCAAACATAAACTTTAACCACACAGCTTTTCTGTCATCTGAGACTGGGGACAGATGTAGAAATCTTTGTTGGTTATCTGACATTGTGTCCATAAGTTTGGAGCTGAGTAAATGTTTAGTTGGTTAACCCCTGCAGTCTCCAGGCTGTTCTGCATTTTGTTCATATATGTAAAGAAAAGAAAATTCAATTGTTATTTTGCAGTATGTACTCAACAGCCAAAGAACTAATGGAACAATGTTAAGAAAACACTGAATTTGTCATAAAAAAGAAGCATTTTAAGTATGTATGTAATGGGTCCCTTAAGGAAACAAGTTTGGTACCACTGTACTGGATTGTTGATATATTTAAGATTTATAAGATTTACAGCTGAAAGAAATGTGGAACTCCTCTCCCTCTCTGCAGGTGGGGGCATGTATAGTGAACCAGGAGAATAAGATAGTTGGCATTGGTCACAATGGTATGCCAAATGGCTGTGATGGTAAGCTACCGTGGTCCAGGGATGCAGTCAACAAGCTTGACAATAAATACTTTTATGGTGAGCATGCATGTGCACACACACTTTTTGCTGCTTTCATTTTGGACAGTCTGATTCCAGAAAAAAATTATGATTACAGTTTGTTTGAATAAAATGTCCAGGTGCAACAAAGTAACAAAGCACTCCTGGTTGAATAAAAACTGTACAATTCATGTGTTCTGGAAGTTGTAAACAATACAAATAGCAAATATGGAAACAGTTGTATAAAGCCTTTTGTGACTCTTTTGTGACTCTCTGATCATTGCGTCAAGTAGAGGTCTAACAATACACAAAATTCACAGTTTGGTATGTACCTTGTACCAAATGTAGACAGTAACATGTTTTTCATTTATTTTGAAAAATGTAAATACTAAATGCACTCAAATACTTTCATATTGTCAAGAAGAAAACTGAATAACACAAATGTCAGTAATTCTCCATCATAAGGGTCTGACCTGTTGATAATTCCTGAACTGCAGCATTTATATGGAGTGATTAATGCTCATGTGAAGGCGGATTGTGGTGGTGGCTTAAATCCTGTATTTTCTTTGACCAAGTATGGTCGTATACATATCCGTAGCAATAAACACTCAGTAGCAGTAGTTAGTACATTGGCACGGCCCACATTTGCATTTGTCTGATCTTCACATTTATAAATGAACAATGTTAATTCAGTTTGATACTAATCACTGCCCTTTGAGCAAGTAGTAGACATAACTAGGCTATATGGACAGCAATTGTTTTGGTCACACGGTGTACCAAACCGAGATAGTCACATACTAAACCAAACTGTTTGGGGCCCTCACATAGGGGGCCCCTTATGGCCATAGCCTCAAGTTACATCACTCGAGGCAACTGTTGGTTAGATCTGAAGACTACAAGTTTGAATATAAAAATTAGCTACCTTAGTTAGACGACTGTAACTTACTCCTCCTTTCTGTTTGAGATTAGCAGCTTTAGGCTATTAGCCACTACTATCATAACAGAAGTGAATCTCTTCAATCTCTAAAAAATGTTAAGTTAACAGGATTCAGTCACTGGAGCGCATAAATGCGTTAAAAAACATAAACAGTCAGTGCCTGTGTCAGAAAACACATCATCTGTTATGTGTTGGTAATCTAGAGAACCCAGGTCCAGACACAGAAGGGAAGGCAGTAGTGAAAAAAAAAAATAACTTGCAACGTCTCTCGACAGTGTGCCATGCAGAGCTGAATGCCATTATGAACAAGAACAGTGCTGATGTGAAAGGCTGCACCATGTATGTGACTTTGTTCCCCTGCAACGAGTGTGCCAAGCTCATCATCCAGGCAGGTGTGTTGACCACCCACACACACACACACACACACACACACACACACACACACACACACACACACACACACACACACACACACACACACATACACACACACACACACTGTACAATAACAATATCTTCCTGCCGGACAACGCTGTGAATGATTAGGAAGAAAATGAAGATGCTGTTCAAGCTTTTCATCATTTTCATTTAATCCACCGCAATTGAGAGGAAAAGGAAGAAGTAATAAATGTTTTGAGTGTGAGTGTAGTGGAAATCAACAGATTTCAGTTGATCAGGTGTATTTGGAATTAATATATTGCTATATGGCATATATAGTATATATAGTGGCATGAGAATGTGCCAGAGGCCACTAAACTTGGACTTTCACAATCCAAATGTTTCTCTGGGCTACTTTTGGGCACCGGTTGGCCACTTCATATCCTTGTGGAAAGCCCTAATATATATAACATTTTTATTACCTCTTGCTGGATTGACTTTGTGATGTGAACGACAAAATTTAGGTCAGTGGTTCCCAACCAGGGGGTTGTGAGGTCACGAGGACTTCTTAATTTTAAGGTGCTTGACTGCCATTGCCAATACTGTTGTTGCTGTGCACCTGTCTGTCTGTCTGTCTGTCTGTCTGTCTGTCTGTCTGTCTGTCTGTCTGTCTGTCTGTCTCTCTCTCTCTCTCTCTCTCTCTCTCTCTCTCTCTCTCTCTCTCTCTCTCTCTCTCTCTCTCACTCACCCACCCACCCCAACTGGTCGAGACAGACGACCACCCACCTAGAGCCGGAGGATCTGTCCTAGGTTTCTGCCTTTTAACAGGCAGTTTTTCCTTGCCCTTGTCTCCAAGGTCTTGCTCATGGTGGTACTGTTGGGTCTCTGTAATTAATGTTTTAAAGAGTTCGGTCTAGACCTGCTCTATTTGAAAAGTGTCCTGAGATAACTTCTGTTATGAATTGGCGCTATACAAATAAAATTGAATTGAATTGAATTGAACTGTTATCAGGTATATATTATGAAATATCCATAAAATATGTCACTTAGTTGCTCATCCGTTTACTCAATGATAGAAAAAGGTTCCCTCATGGAAAAGGGGACGTGAATGAGTGCAGAAAGAGAGAGGAAGAGAGGAGCTCAGTGCATCATGGGAAATCCCCCGATAGTCTAGGCCTATAGCAGCATAACTAAGGGATGGTTCAGGACTCACCTGATCCAGCCCTAACTATAAGCTTTATCAAAGAGGAATGTCTTAAGCCTACTCTTAAATGTGGTGAGGGTGTTACTCATTTCATTTCTGTCAGTCACATACAGTGACATACATTGTACTATTAGCAATATTGTATATATTGTATTACTATAAGGTACATAGACTCTCATTATATTTCTATTTCCATTTGAATTTTGCATACTTTTATGTATGCTCTATATACATTTATATTCTATATATATTGTGTTAGATATTGTAATATAAGTATTATTTTTATTCTTTAACATGCACCTTGAACAATTGTAACAAACAAATTTTCCCCCAAAGATCAATAAAGTATTTGTGATTTGTTTGTTAAGAAGACTAATAATGATATTTACTCAACACTCCTGCCATCCTTCATTACCCCTTCCTTCCTCTGTCCAGGTATTAGGGATGTGGTCTTTCTTTCTGATAAGTACCATACCCTTGTGGAGACGGAAGCTTCCAGAAGGCTGCTCAGGACAGCAGGCATACAATTCGAGTGAGTAACTGCTTTTCTCTGGCACACAGGAAAAAACAGAAATAGTGTTGCTTTCTTGCCTTAAAGTGAAATTTCATCCTGATAATCAGGCTCTGTTATCTTGTGATGGGTTAATTTCTATTAACCTGTTTTGTTGCACCAAGGTTTTCCCAACTTCAGAATACTTTTCAACAAGCCTATGAGAATGTGCTTGTACATTTTGTTCATTTAGGTCAACAGTGTGTCTGGTGGAATATGACACCTAATGCTTACATTTTAAATATAATCCATTTAAAACAGAGTTATCATTGATGTACTTCTATAGTAACTTAACCAAACATTATTATAGAATATCGGTTGATATATCAGTCTAAGTCATCCACATTTGACCAGTTATTCATCACAACAATACACCAGAAAACAACAATGGGCAATAACAAGGCAATAAGGTTGACAAAATGTTTGAGGGCAGTCCATAGTGCTGCAAGGTATGTCAAAGGCTTTCACTTCAGTTTTATTTGTATAGCACCAATTCATAACAGAAGTTATCTCAGGACACTTTTCAAATAGAGCAGGTCATAAAATTATTTACAGAGACCCAACAGCTCCCACCATGAGCAAGCACTTAGCGACAGCGGCAAGGAAAACCTTTCATTTTAGAGGCAGAAACCTCGGACAGACCCCGACGCTAGGTGGGTGGGAGGAAGACAGAGAGAGAGAGACAGACAGACAGACAGACAGAGGTGCACAAGGTGGTGGACAATGAGCAGTGAGTATATTAATAATAGTAACTGCAGTAATAGGCTTTATGGTTATTTTCACATTTTATAACATTTATTTTAACCTCTAAAATAGCACTTTAGTTTTGATGTTTGAGCAGATGAGATGAAAGTATGATTTCAAAAGACAATGAAGAGGAAACTCTCTTTGTCATCCATGTTTTTTTTCCATGTGTGTCCTCATACCTGTTTGCCCTGTAATTATGTACATACTGTTGTTTTCCTCTGTGTGTTGTGGCAGGGAGTTCCAACCCCAGAGGGCTGAGATTCCTATTGCCTTCAGATCCTTCTACGACCCTTAAACAGCATGACCATGGCAACACGCAAACCCCGAATGAGGTGGAAGACTGCTGAGATTGAAAGAGACTTTGATGCCTCTTTTCTCTATGTCTTCTTGCCGCTTGCTTTGCTTAAAGGAAAACTCAAACATATCTCGAGTTTACCTGACACTTTGCCCCTTGTGCATGCTCCCACATTTATTTCCTTTTTAAGGTCCAGTGTGTAACATTTAGGAAGATCAGAAATGGAATATAATATTCATATGTATGTTTTTATTAGTGTATAATCACCTGAGAAAAAGAATTGTTGTGTTTGCGTTACATTAGAATGATGTTGTCTCCAGATGCTGCAGGTTGTTTCTATAGTAGCCCAGAACAAACACTGGCTCCAAATAAGGCTGTTTTTCACATGTTTCTTGGCCACCATAGTTTTCCCCTCACACTTGGAAAGGAAGGGTGAAACAAGTGAGTTGCAACCTGCAACTACATCGCTAGATTCCACTAAATCCTATGTTTTCCTTTACCTTAAAAACTACCTTTGGGTTTAGGAATTCACGAGCACACTGAACACTCTTCAGTGTTTGATTTTAAAATCTTTTGTTTTGTGATTCTTCTCATTGCTCTCAGACCAGGTAAAACCCGAAATCAGCATTTTCCTCCTAGAAACAAGGTTCCAGACTAATACAGACACACCTTAATATTATGGTAATTTGACAGTGGTTGCTGCCCAGTAAATCAGTGAATACTGGGAGCTGCTCATTGTCACTGAGCATCTTACCATCCAACCACAATACAAAGTTTCCTTATCTCAACACACTATTTATATATTACTGTGTGCATATGGGGTTTTTAATATCATTTAAGCAATGTGTTCTGAAAGGTGTTGCTACAATTTTTTTTGTAATTGCAATGTGTGGGTTAGGGTTTTTTAATTAAAAAATGTCTAATTATCACTCAAAACACAGTTTATTTTTTAGATTGCCATCGTTTTCCTACTTTGTGCTCATTTGCCACAGTCTTCGCATGTGTGCCTTCCTATTAAATGACTTGGAACCACTTCTCAGTTCTGTCTTCATCATCTGTCATGTCGAAGTGTCCTTGAACCCCAAATTGCTCTCGACGCTGTGCATCGGAGTATGAGTGTATATGAATGAGTAGTTTCTGTTCTGGTTAGCAGTTGGCACAGTGTGTAACCATCAGTGTGTGAATGGGGTGAGTATGGCATGTACAGTGTTGGGCAAGTTACTTTTAAAAAGTAATTAGTTACAGTTACTAGTTACTTCTCCAAAAAGTAATTAAATTAGTTATTCAGTTACAAATTATAAAAATCACTAGTTTCTGCAGAAAGTAACTATTGCGTTGCTTTCAAGTAAATTTTTAAATGTGACCCCACCTCCACCCCTCTTTAACGGAACTTAAAATACATGAGCATGTTCAATTATTTATGATAAATCTGAATATTATAATGAAATGGACACTTACTACATTATAAACAGAAACAATGTACACAAGTCTAAACTATTTTAATGTTGCTGTGGGACAAAGTGAGACTAGCCTCCAATCAAATGCCATGTATGTAGATATTATATTTATATAGTGGATCGATGCAAATAACACAATAGATGTTTTGGAACTTTTGACATTTATTGCCCCTCAACAGGCCACAACTGGGCAAAATTAAATTATGCCTGTTATACCAAAAAATAAATAACAAATATATACAATCTTTGTAGTGCAAATAAATAAATAAAAAAAAAAAAACTTCAGACAATTGGTAGATAAACTGTACTTCAAGTATATTCTTCCTCGAAAAAGTAGAACAGTGTAACTGTACGAAAGGCTTTTATTGTGAAGGTGCATTTAGAGAAAGTGACGCAATCACGCCCCGTGGCGCGGTGACCCGCACACAGCCTGCAGCCGAGGCGACGGACCTTTTCCTTTTCTACCTTTACACCTGGACACACCTGTGGGGACGTTTAGTATATTTGGCCTTTAACTAAGGTTGTTGTTGTTTGGAGTGAGTTTTATTGTGTTACTCTGAGTGTTAAGTGGAAGCAAGAAGTAAGTATCGTTTCTATATTGTGTTAATGACGACGCACCTCGTTAACTCTCACGTGTGTTTAACGCCGACAGGTAACGGATGTCCGTTGTTTAACACTGTTTATGAGTATAATGTGAATGCTGATGTTTGAGTGGTTTGAGGGTCCAGTGAGCTAGCAGTCGGTAACTTGACGTAGTTCAGGTGGTTAATGACATGTGCGCCATGTGCCATTGTTTATTTAACACCCAGTTCAGCCAGTAGATGGAGCTATTGGACCAGTTAACCTATTATTATGGTTAATGTGTATTTCTGTTGGTGTAAATGTCATTATTATTGTTGCACATATGTCTGTATTTTTCTGCTCATGTAAGCACATTTGTTATTATGGAGATGAAGGTGTATAATGTGATTATTATTATTATTTCCAGAACTGTGACAACATTGAGTGTTCAATAAATCACTGCAGTCATCAGATCTGCTGGCAAAGAAGACATCCTGTCCTCATTCCTGTGTCCTGACCGACACCGCATCTCTGCTGTATAAACCTAAACGAGCTAGCATTAGTCCTTCCCTCACAAACAGTAACAATATGAGGTGCTTTCAATCTAACTGAAAACTGACACCGACGTGGATAGGCACTTTTGCCCAGTGCATAATGTGCATTTCACCATTACATTAGTTCCTTTAATTCTTGGAGGGAAAAGTAATGGCTATACTTCCATTTAGAGAAGGCTACTTTTAGATTATTTGGGCTAGCCATACCGGTCTCTTGTTGACTGACTCACTTGTGTTGTTTGTTGTGTGTCCGACTATGCGTGCTTTCGTACGCCCGCCCGCCCAACTCTACCTCTGATTGGCTTACCATGAAATTTTACTCAACCTCAGCCAATCGTCAGCATTTATGCACTTGTCTCTTGCACTGCCCACTAACCAAGGAAAAACAGTAAAAAAGTCTTTGCTGAAAAAAGTAACGCCGTTAGTAACGCCGTTATTCCCATCACTGGGCATGTAGTGGTCGAAAGACTAGAAAGGCGCTATATAAGTACAGTCCATTCAACATTTACCATTATTCTTGAAAATGTGTTTTAGGATGTTACTTCAATTTAAATGACATACTTACAGTTACTAGACGGGGTAATAGGACAGCTACAAATCAGAATCAGAATTAGGTTTACAGCCAAGTATGTTCACATACAAGGAATTTGTCTTGGCAAGATGGTACATAACAATTAAACATTGTTAAACAAACAAATGAAAATATGTCTTTAAACGATAGGGTCTATCGCAGCCACCGCACTTGGCAGGAGCCACGTCCTGCTCCCTATGTGGGGTGGCCAGCACAGAAGTCGCTCCCCTCAAACGTCTTCAACTGAGAGCAGAGCTGCATGATTCGGACCTGTTGACTTCACCGGTGTCTCATCAACTATCCCACAACACCTCAGTGGGGCTTGACAGCAGAACCAGCGTCCTGGACCTGCTCCCTCGGCCATTCAGGACCTCACCACTCAGCTCTGACCCACACCCTCTCTGCCAGCCTGGTTTAGCCACCGCTTGCTTCTCTTTAGCCACAGCCATCTGGATGCTGTCTCTGCCTGCTTTTAAAAGTTGTTCACCAGGTTCTTGCGGGTTGCCCCTTTGACCCCAAGCATCCCCAGTGCTCTCCAAAGTGACTGTCCCGGGAACCCCCTGCAACCCACCTCCACTGGTAGATTCGAGGCTCTCCAACCCCTCTGCTCGCTCTCGGAGATGAGGGACTGATACTTCCCCAGCTTGCATTCATGTGCCTCCTCAATCCTTTCCTCCCAGGGTACCGTCAGCTCTATTAGGGCCACCTGCCTTGTTACTTGGGACCAGAGCACAATATCTGGTCGGAGGCTGGTGACAGCAATCTCCTCTGGAAACTTGAGTTGCCTTCCGAGGTCAACTCTCATCTCCCAGTCCACTGCTTTACCAAGGATCCCTGAACATCTGTCCTCCTTGCCTGCCTTTTCCCCAGGCCTGAGGAAGCCAATGAAGCGGGGGCCTTTGTCTTGGGCCTTGGTTCTTTTCCGCTTCCTCTCCTTCTCCAGTCCATCGGCCAGTTGCCCCAGCACCTGATCATGGCGCCACCTGAACCTCCCCTCGGTCAGGCCTGCCCGACAGGACGACAGAATGTGCTCCAGGTTTGCTGGTCTCTTGCACTGCGCACAGGAAGGATCTTCTGTCAGTCTCCATCTTTGGAGGTTTGTTGGTGTTGGCAGTACATCGTACACGGAGCTGAGGAGGAACTTTATCCGACGGCCCTCCATGTTCCAAATGTCCTTCCAACTGAGGGATCTTCCTCGGACACTTTCCCACCGAGTCCAGCTGCCTTGCTGTTTCATGGCTACTGCCCTGGCTTGTCTGCTCTCTTCCTCCACAGCCCGAATCTCCTTCTACACCATCCCTTTCCGGTCCTTTGCCCTTGCCTCCTTCCAGCTTGCTCGGGTGATGACTCCTAGGCCCAGCCTCCCCTGGGTCACCGTGCCCATGATGTCTGCATGTTGTAAGCACTCCTCCACTTCCCTCAGAGCTCCGCTGGCCTTCCACTTCCGATAAAAATAGAATCAATAAAAATAGACAATATATACAAATATAAAAAATTCAGATTTTAATGAAATTTGGTGGAAGGGTCAGCAATGGGCTAAGGAATAAGCAAGTAGTTTTTGATGTGCTGCCATGTTGTGATCATGTGGCCTTGGTGAATCCTCTTCTGAAAACAAAAAAAACAGTCTTGATTCCAGTGACATGAGCGACTTCAGTCCAATTCAACAATATTTTTGAGCAGAGTAATTCAAAAACTGCTTTATCTTTAGCCATTAAACTTTATTGGCTTCAGTTCTCTTGAAGAAATTACAACCCGAGCTTTATCGAAGAGGAAGAGAAACTAGGAGCTCTTGAAGAAAAACATAAATGCATCAGCAATCAGATGATTTTCACGCATGAAGTCAGCCTACATGATCCCATTCCATTTTACACATTCGTACACCGATGACACAGCATTGGGAGCAATTTGGGGTTCAGTATCTTGCTCAAGGATAATCAAGGCATATTTTAAATATTTGCATCAGCCCAGAATTTTCCAATTGTATTCATAGAAATCTACACTTGTATGTGGAGAAATTATGACAGTTAAAATATGTTCTAACATCTTCTATCTGGCTTGTTTAAAGAACTCACAAGCATCCTTTGCCAGTTGGTCACTCTGTGAACATGCTTCTAATTGCACGCAACATTACAAAATTATACATTTACAGACAGCAATCTATTTTTTCCCCCTCTTCTGTCAAGAGACAACTTTTGAGTATCAAATGACAAAATTAAACTTAACTCATAGACTTGCTGAGAGCCCCCTGGTTAATACTGAATAACAGTAAAATGAAGCTGGGTAACCAGACTTGTCTGTAATTTGTGATTGTACAGTTTCATGAGGCTTTGATTATCCTAGAGGTCACAATAGCTCATTTTATAAAGTGAAGTCAAGTTTCAAAAAATGTTCTCACTACAATGAAATGGCTACTATTGCTTCATCATCACACATGAATACAATTGCGCTCATTGGATACACAAGAGTCTCAGCTCTCCAACCATATCAAGTATAATGTCATTCCCATACTGTTTAGGAACTCCACTGTGCAGAAATATCCAAATACATTAGATGAAATGCATTCAAAACTCAACTGGAATAGTGCGCAGTGGTGTGGGCAAGTTTGTAAAGGAAAGACACATAGACAGTTGGAGACTTTCAAGGGAATATGGGGGATGCTGAAAAATGCTAAAAATGCACCCCCCTTGTTAGTCATTCTCATCTTTTCCCACTATCTATCCCCAAATAGGAGAAAGAATTGTTTGATTGAATATATTAGTCTAGTCAGGTGGACACATTGATCCTTTATCGGTTTGTGCAAGCTACAATCTATGGCCCCGACCATGGCTCTGAAATATCAGCAGCCTGTGCTGTGTTTTGATACATCAAGGAAGCTGTCTGTGGGGCTGA